GCTTCTTCGCCCGTGCCTCGTGCTCCCGAAGTTTCCCACGCAGTGAACGATGGCTTCCATTTTGCGCCTGAAGCCGACGTATGCGTTCGAAGTCGGCGTCACTGAGAATGCGTTCGGCGGCCGCTGGGACTTGAGACGCCGTTGTTGATGCTACAGACGTCCTTAGCGCGGAGGCCGACGGCACACGCTGCGCTTGGCGCGCGGAGTTCATCTCTGTATCCTCAAACCACTCCGCCTCTTTGTTGCCATCCTCCTCTTCCTCCTCTGTGTCAGCCTCCTCTGTGTCAGCCTCCTCTGTGTCAGCCTCCTCTGTGTCAGCCTCCTCTGTGTCAGCCTCCTCTGTGTCAGCCTCCTCTTCATCCTCCTCTGTGTCAGCCTCCTCTTCATCCTCCTCTTCCTCTTCCGTGTCAGCCTCCTCTTCATCCTCCCCTTCCTCTTCGTCCTCCCCCCACTCCTCGTCTTCCTCCATGTCTTCCTCCACGTCAGTGGCATCCCTTTCAGCACGGCACCGCTTACGAGGAACCGCTTCACACTGCACTGTGCAGCTCAGGCAAGGGCTGCTGCGTCGCCGGCTGACTCCCTCAGCGCTACCCAGGCTTAAGACATCACTCGCCGCGTCATCCTCGCTCCTGAGAGGCTTCAAGGGCGCCCGCTCCACCGTGCCATTCACCGGCACAAGTTGTGGGCAAACCTCTTCTTCGGCGTCACCATCACCACAGTCCGAGGCATCGACGAAGCTTCCCTCGATGTCGTCTGGGTCGCAGTCACTGCTGTCTGTCATCCATGTGCCATCACTGTCGTCACTGTCGTCACTATCGTCACTGTCGTTGGAGGTGCAGCACAGGGAGTGCGTGTCTTTTTCATCCTCCATCGCGGAGTAGAGTAGCTCAAGTCCCGGGACATCGGTGTAAACATGCTCCTCGCCATACACGGGCCGATGGTGCTCCCCCGTTGCCGCAGCCCCGCGGCCACCACGCAGCTTTGCTGGCAAGAGCTCGGGATACACATCACGATAAAGTTGAATGAGTGCACGTGCCGCCATCATGACGCCGCGGTCGCCCCGCTGCGATTTGTACTCCGTTAGGTCCTTCAGTAAATCCGCATTCATCGCTAACGGCTGTCGCTTACAGATCTCACGAATAGTGTTGAGACCGATGGTAATCGCATCTGGCGAGGAGCGATCCGAGACAAAGTGGTTTGCAATGGCCTTCACAAGCGGCTCAAGAGCGTCCGGTGGCACAAGGCGGTGAACACAAGTGACAGAGAGCGCCAAAAGTTGGGTGACGTGCAGCTGCGAAGGCTCCATGTAACGTTCAAGAAACCCGTAGAGTGGAAGATGTACCACCTCATGCTCTGAGATGACGCGAGCAATGACATTCAGGTAGAGAATGCGAACCTCAAAGCGCTCCGTGGTCTTTTGCAGGCGTGCAAGAAGACGTTCCACAAACTGGTGTGGATTGCGAAGAAGTCGTATGGGGTCTACGTGCTGCTTTGCCAGCAACTTATCCGCCTTATCCTCCTTGTTGTACTTCCGCTTTATCGTGTTCATGTCTCGCTTGAGAATACGCTCTCGTTTGCTCGTCTTTTTGACAATCTTTAGTTTCTGTTTCATACGAGAAATCTCCCGCCCGGGATCCGCCCCCTCGCCGTCACTCTCGTCACCCGTGTCGTCGAGGGAGGTTATCTTCGGCATCTGCAGCAGGAAGAAACGAAGGGCGGTGCGAAGAATGGGGGTGTGCCGTGTGAAACAGGCCTGTGTCAGCACCTCCACCGTCCGCTCGTTGGCCCAAACACGGCGGCGGTACAAGTCGATCATCACCATCTCTGCGCAGCGTGCCTGCACCGGATCATCCTCCGCCATGACGGAAAAGAGAAAGTTTTGTGCAATCTTGTTCACTTGGGCCCCGTTCTTCGCGCGGGGCATATTCACCTTGCGTATGTCGCTCACAATGTGGTAGAGGATGAGCCGGCGGAGGCTTTTATCACGCTCTTGCAGGAGCTGGAAAAACAGCGGGTACGACCGCTCCGCGGGAACAATGTTTTTAGATCGCAGTAATGCGAGAGATTTAACGAGGGCCAGCCGCAACTCAGGCATCATGGAGCTTCCCTTGTATTCCTGCAGCAGTTTCAGCACCACCTCCGCCACCTCCGCGCACTCTACGGGATAGCAATGGCCCACGTGGCAGACGTAGTTCAGCACCGCGATATACTGCGAGTTAGACGCCTTCTGAGTCATGATGGTTTGGCTGAGGGCCTTGAAGTGGTCAAGCTGCGAAATAAACTCGTCGCGGTACGCCTCTGGATCACGGCGAGTGCAGTTCTGCAGCAGCAGCAATGTACCTCGAAACGCCGTCTCCGCCATTGTCACCCGCGCCTCCGCCACACGAATTCCAGCACACTCCTACTGGACAAATCAGGCGGCAACGAAGAAAAAGAAGAAGTGGCGCAAAAGGCACGAAGAAAACAAAACAAAAAAAAAAGGAGAGGTGTGCGCAAACATTTTTCACGCAGCAGGATACAAAAAAGAAAACAAAAAGGGAAAAACATTTTAGCGGAAATATTAGGGTGTGATGTCAGACACATCTTTTTTGCTGTCAGTAGCAGCACCCACAAAGTTATTCCCCCCTCCCCTCTTTCTTATTGTCTCTTTTCCAGTAGTTTTTTTCTCTCCTAGTGGTGCGTCCGTCACCAACGCCGTTAGCACCGCGCCCCCAGAAGAAAAGCACTGCGAGAAACAGCCGTGCAAAAAACAAAAACATAAAAAAAAAAAAGTATTTCATTTCCTATTTGTTCCTTCAGCCACGTGGTTGCAGCTTACGCCATTCAACACCCACGCACACAAACCCATGCGGTTTTATTAACGGGAGACCGCACCGCCACACACCGCCCCCTCATCTTTGAAGTTCGCTCTGTTATCGGTAAGGGACGGCGGCAGGTACCAGCCGCTGCTGTAGCCAACGACGGCTATGGAGCCAAACTTACAAACGACTAATAGTGCTGTTGAATACCGGTCCCTGCCCACTCAGACTCTTCCACCAGCCATTTACGAACAAATCACAGGGGTCGAGTTTCTGGCGGAGCTGCAAGAAATCATCCCAGTTCTGCCCGTATGCCTCCTTTAACTGCGATGGCCCCCAGGCGTAGTACTTAGCCCAGTGTGGCCTCCCCCCCAGTGCTGTCATGGCGTCACTAAATGCCTGATAGTACTGCAGCGTATCCGGTGCATCACGAAGATATGGTCGATACATGACAATGCCAATCCAGCATGTCTTTCGTCCAAATGAGGGTGAAAGGGCCGTTTTATCGGCGTCCGTAAAACGGAATTCAACAGGAAAATGTACGCTCAGGTTCCGCGATCCAATAATTTCACGAAGAATTTGAAATGCCTCAATGGTTTTACTGGCATCAATGGCCCATTCGCACGCCCATTGCTTAAAGAGACAGTCAAATGTAAAACATTCCAGTGAAGTTCCATACTGTACCTCTGGCGCAGAGTAGTAGATCTTGTTGTAGGCACAGTTGATGTATGGCTGTAGCTGTGAGAATGTAGTTGCAGCCGCGAGGGCCGCCTCAACCACACCGTGTCGTAGCCAATTTCCCTTAAGAGCCTTACACAGCTGAGTGCGCGGGTGCTTCTGCACCTCCAGCCAAGCTTGATAGTCCACAGCCTCCCCGCGTGGGCGCTGCACCGCCTTCAGAAATTGAGATACCTTCCGCAATGCAAATACCGGCATCATCGTCGTGGTTGACGCGGTATGAGGGGCAGTCTCATCACCTGGCCCCGTCGCCGTCTCCTCCACGCATGCGCCAATGGACTCGTAGCAAGAGTCCGTGTTGGGCATCCAAAAAAAACGGTAGAACACGGAGTCGGAGACACGTCGCTTCAGTGTGTCCCCCGCAGTCAACTTGTGGAGTGAAATTGGGTGGCTGCGGAGACACCACATTTGTTTCCTCTCTGCTTGTATCGTCACCCGCACCACCACGCCCAGCATGCCAAGGTGGCACGCCGCCAGTGAAAGCTCCTTGGGGGTTGACACATCAAACGTGTGAATCTCACCACTGCCGTCAACCAGCACAATGCTAACAACGTAGTCGGAGAGGCTCCGCGTTTTGATTCCACTACCGTGCGTCGCCGTGCCAATGGCTCCGGCAATAGTCGTGAGCACATACGACGGCACGCATCGCAGCATCAGGTTGTGTTCACTCAACTTCTCAAAGATGTCCCGCAACAACGCCCCGCCTTCACAGACAATTTGCTGCCGCGCAACATCAACAGAAAGAATGCGATTGAGGCGGTCTGTGTGAATGAGATGTGTGTCTGTGAAGGTGCAGGAATTGGGACTCTTTGCGTTCCCGGCAACGCGGCATCTCTCGCCCGTCTGCTTCAATCGCCGCATTAACGCCACAACATCTTCCACAGAGCTGGGATGATGATGCTGGCGCGGGTAGCAGCAATCAATGCGCGCCATGTTGCTCCATGCAGGTAGCGTATCGACTTTGTGATTCATGCTTGCTTCAAAGAGAGAGAGAGAGAGAACGACATATGAAGAGGGATGCATCCTTGTTGGGGCACTGCGTTCATTGACAACATTCGGGGGGTGGGTGTGAGCACGAGGCAAGGCAGCGAAAGTATCAGCAGCAAGTCAGACAGAAGTAACCCGCTGTGGTAAAATGCAAAGGAAGAGCACAAAGATACACCAGGAATAAAGCAACAACAAAAAATTAACGGTGAAGAAGGAATAACAACAGCACCACCACCACCACGAAAACGCCGTTCATATCCCTTACTCATTCAAACGTCCAATGCAGTACTTCTCAAGGAGTTTAACCGTTGATGGTAAATGAAACTCCGAAAATAGAGCCGCCGCATCATGGCCGCCTGCTCCCTCCACGATCAGCAGTCCGCCAGGGTGCTGCTGCACAAACGAACTCACATCCAGCACATTTCCATCGACCACCATCCAGAGGTTGGACTCCGACGCATGACGCGCAACCTCCTCCCTTGCAAAGTACGCTACCGGTGGACAACGAAAACCACCTGCTGAAGCAAAAAAATTTCCAACGTCGTCCTTATGGTTTGTATCACCCGCATTCTTTCGATCATCGCTATAAGGCGTCAACGCCAGCCTAACAAAGACTGCTGCCAAGATGACCCAGATTCCAGTGAGAAGCATCAGTCGCCCGTATGGCCTCCTCCCTTGCAGCATCGCCGCGTACAGCTCTTTACCAGGCGTCCCCTTGACTAGAGATACAATAAATTCAAATAACTCCTTTAGGGTTTCCACCGTGTCTTGTTTTGCGTGTCGGGAAGGGAAGGGGAGGAAGGGAAGAGTAAAGTGTCACCTGCGTTCCTCCACCTTTCATCTCCCTCCTCGCACCCCGCACACACACGCGATGGAGACGAATCAAGAGAGAAATATATATATATATACCTTTAAACACGAAACGCCAATAACGAAATCATCAATCAACACAGCCCTGCATCGTTTGTGTAGAAGGCACGAATGAGCGACTCGGCACCAGCGGGGACAAGGCTATCTATCTCAGCGCTGGGATTTGCCGCTAGTGCCTCGCGGATTGCGGTGGAAGAAATATTATTCGTAAAGATTTCAACCTCCATAAAGCGGTACATAGATAGATCAAGTGTCATGAGTGTCGTACCATGGCCATCTCCAGTGCCCTCAACGCGCTCCTGCAGCAGAGAACCGTGCTGACGCAGCACCTCCGCGCACCCCGTGGTCGATCCCGCGCGTCGCGTGACCATCACCTCAAATGATTCCAACAGCCGCCTAAGCAGCCCCAACGACCAGCAGCCAGGCCTCAAAAAGGTTGCAAACAAATCACTCCCGCACAGAAACACCACTCGCACGGGATGTTGTCGCACCCACTCCAACTGTGTCTTATTGGGCACCGCATCAGTTTCATACCACTGCTGCACAGTTTTCTGAAGGTGCTCTAAGACGTAAAACGTGCGAATGTGCGTCGGCTGTAGACCCTCCCACTCGTCAACAGCCAGGGAAGGATGATCGGCCAGTGCTGCCCTGCATATGGCTACACGCTGCTCAAAAGGGCGAAGACTTTCCTTTCCATAATGGTCATTTACAGGTGAGATGAAGCCGCCTGCAACGACAACGGCGGAAGAGACGTCAGTGGGTTCTGTGGGATGCATCAATGCATCGCGGGCAGCGTCGTACATGGCAAGGTGTGCCCGATGAATAGGATTGAAGGACCCACACATCACCAGAAGGATAAGACGTCCAGTTACCGTCACATCGATAGCACTCCATGCTGCCAACTTCGAGCTACAAAAGCGGTAAGGTGCAGGTGTGTTATCGCTCATAGCCCCGCGCCGCACAACAACTCCACTGCGCCCACCGCAGGAGAGACACCCAAAAAGAAAAAAAAATTCCAAAATAGAAGCAGTGGTGAAGCGCCCCATAAAATATATTTATACATACAAAAATAAAAAAATAAGATAAAAAGGTGAATTCAAAGCAGACAGCCAAAGAAGAATGAAAAAAAAAAAGGGGGGTGGGGGGTGGGGGGCAAAAATAAAATATCTGCAACTACACACAAATGCATCACAGAAAGATAAAGAACAAGATGTTCTCAGCTATGCGTATTCCTTCGGTATACCATACAACAGACGCGTACTCCCCTCATCAGTGAAGTGCATCGATCAACTCATCTGGAAGCACCTGCGCGGACGAAACGGTGCCGTCCATGTAGGCATGGTACTCTGCCTCGCGCCCTTTTGGAATACGCGGAATGCCAAGCTGATAAGCTTCTACGTTCTTAATGTACCATATCTCCTTTGAAAGGATAAAGTCATCAAGGTCTTGCCGCTCCTTTGCAGCAGACATGTACGCCTGGGTAATTACAACCATCACCGCCGTCGATCCTGCTGCTACAAGCAGCGGCATACGATACACTGTGTGCAAGGGTAACACAACACAGCCGGTGGCGCACACGACGCCAAGCGGCACCGCGCCATTAAACTCCAACACCTTTGCCATCCACCCCGCCGTCAGGTTTCGTTCCTCCGGTGGCACCTCGTCGTAGTCGTAAAGGCCAAAGTCTGTGATGGGGTGGTAGTACTGCCGCGGCTGCACGCGGGAGGGATGCATCGGCACGACACCAATACGCTCCCAAAAGGTATACAAATCTTCCTCGGGCCCTAGAAGTAGCTGGTTGGCCCCACTTTTGCGCAAGAGCAGCGCTGGCGTGGTGTCAAGACGCACATTGCGCAGGTTGCCACGCCACGCACATAACATCCCGCTGTTTCTATAACTGCGACGCCGCGTCAATTTCGTCACCATACACAACGCCAGGCACACTGACGCGGCCACAAAGGCGGCGCCAGAAGTGGTCCCACATCACCACCACAGCGAACAAGCGAGGAGAGCAAAGCCTACACCCCCACCAGATGCTCTGGCGAGAGCTCCACAGCGCCCCAGGCTGGCACGGAAAGCAAGCCCACAGCAAGGTAAAAAAAAAAGGTGGGAAGACTGGCGAGATTCAAAAACCATCCCAGAAGCGCATGAAGTGCAAAGAAGCAGAAAATGCGCGCGCACACGCACACACACACCAGTTCAAACACGACACGGCAGCGATGAATTAATAATAATAACACAAGAGCTAATGGATGAAAAGAGGCGCAGGCATATACAAATAATGGGTGCTGCACCCGAAAACATAATACCAGTGAGAGCAATAGAACAAAAAAAAAACAATAAAGTAGCAAACAAGTATAATCGAACGTATGTATGTATTATTTATGTTATACGGCATAATGCATGGTGAGAGATACCCTCACCCACCCAAGCACACAGAGAAAAAGAAGTCAAAAAAGGCTGATCGTGTTGCAGTTTATACGCCACAAGACGTCAACAGAAGCATTTGCAGGCATACGACGCTACCTGTTGTTTTTTTTTTCTTCTTTCTTTCTTTCTTTCTTATTCATCATCTTTTTTCTCAGCCTTGTACTTGTGGTGTCCTTTCCATCACTGTCAAGCACGTATCCCCCCGCATACAAACATGGCGCGTAGAGTATCCTCAGATTCAGACATAAAACCAAAACAATAAACCAAAACAAAAAGGGGTAAGGGAATAGGCAAGCCATGCACGAAGTGGTCCGCCTCGCACCTGAGGTGCGTCGGGTGTGAGGCAAGACACAATCTGTAATCTACACTCTGATCATCATTACACCCATTCCCCACCTCAGGCCTGTCCAACCCCTCATCATCCATTACTTTTCCTTCACCTCAAACCCTCGTCAACGCTCGCTTCAAAATGGAGTAAAAAAAAAAAAAAATAAAACAACCAAATGCAGTATTGAATATCGTTGGGTAAGTATCTTATTGCTACTGTTTTTTTTTTAATTCTCTTTTCTTGAGGGAGAGAGCGCGGGTGTGAAGAGAAACTGAACCTCTGTTTTGTGTTGTTGTTGTTGTTTTTCATGTTACAATTATTATCTCCTTGCCTGCTTGGAAACCGAATTAATACTCTTCACCTCCACTGGAGATAGTGAGTAACAAATCCGTTTCTCTTGTTACTATTATTGGCATCGGCGGAGAGGCACAAATAATGAATGAGTTGAAGACATCCTCATCCCCCCACCCACCCACCCCACACTCCTCCCCACCTCACTCACAACCAAACGCACCCCACACACAAACACAGACGCAGAAAAATAAAGCAAAACAGAAGTATGTAGTTATATATATATATGTGCGACCATTGAAGGAGACAAAAGAGGCAGAGGCAATATATATATATATATAAAGCCCCGACTAAAGGCTCACGGCGTTTGATGTCTTCTTCCACGCCCGCCTACTACTCTGGATCATTAAACAACTCTTATCTCTTTATTATATATATATATATATATA